ATGAATCTTTTCGCACTGAATTTTATTGACAAATGTCTAACCTCTAAAATGCAGCTAGTTTCAGATGTCAAAGTAAATTACACTTACAACTAACGTCATCTAAATGTAAGCCGCGGAAACTAAGTTTACTACCTAATATATTAACATTTTCGCGGCCATTCACGTATTTTTACGTTTAAATATTTTGGTAAAAGCCAAGAGATCCGACATTTTATATTACACGACCTAATACTTAGGTGTACATTGGATAAAATTGTAAACCAAGTTCCTTCTTGGCAAAAGTTGAAGTAATAAACATATATAGTTACAATAGATAAACATTTAACGTGTAAGAATTTTAGATTTAACTGTTTTTGCATATGGACTACTCATATGTGTTGTAACTTCTCTTTCATTTATAACCATTTTATGTGTATTATTTGACGAATATTTTTGGCTTTCTTTCGTATCAAGCATAAAAATGGTGTTACTAAATGTTGTTAAATATAATAACATAAATATTATAACATTCCATGTGGAAAATGGTTACCGGCGAGATAATGACCCAGTACCGATTTCTAGTACTGAGTATTGGCGCGTTACTAGATGCCAATACTGATGTAATACTGGAGAAATACTGAGATGATAGAATTGGGCTAAGACTCGAATTACAGTACTATTTTGGTAGAGGATTCCAGTATTACTGCAGTACCGATTTCCATTATTGTTTACGGTATTAAATCAGAACCGATTCTCAACATAACAGTACTAAAAATCAATACCAATCCCCAATACAGTAACAGTATTAAATATCTGTACCGATTTCAAATACTATTATCTATCAATACTACAAAATACTAGTATCAAAAATCAATACTGATTCTCAATACTATAACAATATTTAAGATCAGTATCAATTTCCAATAATTAGTATCAATTTTGTGCGCGATAATCACAAATTAAATTACAGTATTATTATTAGAATTATTTATTATACACATATAAAATAAATTAATTGACATTAATTAAATATATGAATGTTGTAATGTTATAATATTAAATGTTATAACATAATTAATTAATATTATAATAAATAATATTTATATTATTGTATTTATAATTAATTAATTAATTGACATTTTTTTCCACATTTTTTCTTTCTTTGCGACCTCTGCACCGATCTACTGCTCCCGAAAATCATCGACTTATGGAAGAATTGATTTCTCTTTCTTTCTTAGTTCCAAATTTACTTATGAGAATATCTATCGAATAATTTTTAATTCTTACATTATAAAATATATCAATTGATAATTAATATTGATTTAATAAAAGCTGAAATAACACATACCCATAAGTAAGCTATAAATTTTTGTTTTGCTGAAGTTTAATTTTTTGTTTCATTTTTTTGTCGACCAAAAGCAGTAAATAATATTTGAACATCTTTAGTCATTACAGCTGATAAAGCATTATGTATAGCTTTTCTGTGTGTTGAAGCTACATCAACATATTTCTCAAATAACGTACGCTGTAAAAAATATAAACTTATAAAATATTTTATTTATTAAATAAAATATTAAAATAATCTAAAAAAATTAATTACCAAGGCATTTTTTCGTCAGCGTTCATTAAGGCATCTAAAGTATTAAAATCATCTAATATAGATATCGGTAATATAAGTCCAATAATCTGTTTTAGAGCAGAAACTGGATTCATTTCATCTTTGTGTGATAAATTTAATAATAAATTGTTTTGTAATTCTTCAAATCCTTTCCGTATATCGTATAAAATACTTTTCTTTATGTTATCCATCTTTTTTTGTATAAGTACTTTCACTTGCTCATAGCAAGCATTAGCAATGACTTGAGTGTATTCTAAAATAAGAAAACAAATAAGTATTATTCTTAATTTATTAATTAATTAATTTATTTTTAATTAATTAATTAATTAATTTATTTATTTAGTTATTTATTATGAGAAAATCTAAGTTATATTATTGTAAAAATTTTTTAAGTAATCTTAATTGTTAAATAATACTACACCATTAATTCTATACAATTATTGTGTAATTTTGTTCTTTGCAATGGATTCACATTTTCGGCTTTGTCAGAGAGAGAGAGAGAGAGAGAGACAGAGAGACAGAGACAGAGAGAGAGACAGAGAGACAGAGACAGAGAGACAGAGAATCGCTTTACGCTTGTTACTTTTTTTGCTGTCAAATCTTGCATCGTAAATAAACTTTTTTATTTTTAAAAGTAATTGATTCTGATGACCTACTTGGAACGTCATTATCTACGAAATAAAAATATCAATTATAAATGTATAAATTTACGAATTTCAAACATATTTACAAACATATTTACAAACAATAAATATCTTCTTCTATTTCCGTAATTTTGTTTTTTACAATTCTTTGACTTGAGAATGATTGAAATTCAAAATCACTGATTTTACTTGATTTATCTGATTCTGTATCTGACAATTCTTCAGCATCTATATTAGATATTTCATTTGAAAGTAAAACAGTGTCTTCTGAAATGCGTGCCATACGACGTAGTCCCTGATCGAAATTATCTATAACGTAAATAATTCAATGCATTTTTTATTTTACTTTTTTTTTTAACTTGTATTTACTAACATCTTTCATTAATTTAACAGGATATTTCTTCCATGTTAATTCTGGAGTTTTACTTTCTTTACTCCATTCTTGTACTTTATCGTACTCTAATTTTGGCGGATATTTGCAAAACCATGTGCATTTAGGTTTTAATACCCATTTTTTGGTACAAGATCTATACATAATTTTTTGTCTTGACGCCGAATACTAGTAAAACAGACGATTACGCGTGTAACATTATCACTTAGTTCAATTCTATATAAATTACATGAATAATAAATTATGATAATTTTTCTTTATTGGTAAAAAAGCTTTTATGTCAATAATATTACGTATTTTATTTGAAAAATTAACAATAACATAATTACCAATAAATTAAAAAAATACATGTACTCACAAATACGAAAAATTATTCATGGTTGATGCGAATTATAGCACTGCACTGCACTAGACTTAATAATACACTGGACTAAAATATAGTTTCACTTTTTGTCACGTAAATTAAAATACCCAAGAAAAATATACCAATATCTAATACTAGTCCGAAGTATAAAATTCCCACATGGGATACTATAATATTTTTGCATTGTGATATTAATTATGTTAAAAAAAATTGCAAATGTAAAAAATTAGTTATTAAAAATTAAAAATTGAATAAATAACTAAAAAATTGTTCAGACTAAATAATAAAAAGCCACAAATACTGCGCAACAAAGAATTACTTATTAAAAAAATACAAAAATGAATTATATAAAGCTATCAATCGTATTATTTAAAACTATAGTCTGTGCAAATTAAATAATTTAAATTATAAATTCATCAACATTTTTATAAATATTTCTTATTTCTCAGAATGTTTTACATTTAAAGTGTAATTTTTCACAAGTTTTTTTATTAATCTCTCTGCAATTAATTTTTTAAACGTTTTTTACGTAAATGTTTTTGTCCTGATGTATTTTTGTTCAATATGCATTTGAGTGATGTGTTTAGACATTTACATTACAAAAAAATAAAGAGATATACATGAGTCAGCTGTTCTGAGAACGAGAAAAGAAAGGAAGAAAGAGCCGATTTCCAGGAAAAGAATTGCGAGAAATGGCGACGAGAGCAGTGTTAACCTCTTGTCTTACGATTTAATTTGTGCGTGTCATAGTTAAATTAAATAAAATTTGCATTGTCATAGTTAGACATAAGTTTGCTCGCGCACCACGCAAACAAAAATATGTCAAATACGCTAATGATGTATCAAGAGACACGGTAGTGTCTCGCGCCAAGTTCACGCTTGGCGCAAGACCGACCGTGTCTCTTTACGCGAGACGGAAAGTTCAGATGAGCCGAGATTATCGGATCTCAATAACGGCTGGGCCGATTGAGTTGGCAATAGGCTCAATCGAAAGCGCATACCTAAAATATATAAAGAAAGTATGCTTGTTTTTGCTCGGTGTGCTTTATAAATTAAGATATATGCATCCAAAGTCGAGAAATCTAAAAAATCATCATTTTTCTCGGATGTCATTTAATTCATACACCACGAGTCAGATTCATGATTCTTTTGTTTGGTCCATAATTCGTACTACAAATCACACTCGTGTTTTTCAGTTTTGACATGTAATCTGTAGCACGAGTGTCACTCGTTATTATAAGGCAAGAGGCAATAATTAATTAGGCAATGATAAAGTTAAAAAGATCTTGGGTTTACGAGAAGAACCTAGAAAATATTCGGTTATGCGGATCCGCGAATTATTCAATCTACTGTGTTCTTACATCATACAATTTTAATTCGTAAAAATACAAAATCCTGATACTTCTTTTCAAAAGACTTTTACGTTAATTTTTAATTCATTATATCAATTTCCTCGTTCACTTTATAAAAATTATCCCCGTTGTGTATTTTACGTTTTTGTTTTCTTTTCCTATAATTCAGATTGTACTACTTTTTCATATTTTGCTAATAAAATAAAAAATAAGGGAAATTAAATAAAATTTGCATTCAAACAAAAAAGTGGAATAATATAACATTGCTATAATCACGTGAACATCACATGATATAACGTAATGTCAATATATCAAAATCTGAATCTGATAAAATTGCTTGATGTAAAAGTTTTATCACAGATCACCGCATAAATTATATGTCATAAATATGTAAATTATATGTCATTAAACAAATATATTCATAACTGGGATATCAAAACATAACTAATAACTTGCAATGTATCAATTATAAATGGGGACAAGGAATTTCCCCACTCAAAAAAATTTGTCAAGAGATATATATATATACATTCATACTTCGAGCAAGACATAGTAGTATCAATCGTGCAAGCATCGTATCCTAACGTATCTAAACAAAGATCACAAGAATCGATTTGTATTATTTCCATTACAAAAATACTTTTTGTAAAATATGGCAGTTCTTCATGATACGTTTGAAGACACTACTAAAATTACCAAGTGCGACGTGAAACATTCGAGTGAACATGAATATATAATAGCGTTCAAGAATACATTCGATCGAAAATTATTTCCGAACGACTTCGATATCCGAGCTGTAGAAGAACAATATACCTGGATAAACGAGAATATCACCCAATTCTTTCCAAACGTACCGCAGTCTTTATTGAATATGATTCCAGCCTTCTATCGTCAAATAAATTGCGAATTGTCACCAGTCGAAAAGCCTACATGGATGGATATGGATAAATATCACAGAGGGCAAAGATTTGTACGCGATCACTATGCTTCCATCGTCGTCATTAAAATAGTGGGCATCATTCATCTATGTACTTTTAATGACTTTCTAAAACCGATGATTATGTCTAAGCGCTCGGAGACACCGTATTTAGGATTTAAAAGGTATATTTTTAATTCAATGCTTTATGTTTATAATGTTTTAGATTTCGCGCAAATTTTACAAAATTAATTTTAGAATGTTTTGTTCTAATTTAACGATATGTTATAAAAATGTTACACGCTAATCACGAAATATCCTACATAAATTAATATGCATCCTTTTAAATTTGTTACTAACTTGCAAGGTATCTGTCGACTATACAACGATTGCTCAACTGGTACGACGGAGAGCCTTGGGTTAAAGGAACACTTGCTTATAAAGACATGTTACATGCACGTAAAATACATTTATTAATAAGGAAAAAATTGTGCGGACTTGATAACAAGCAAATCGATAAGGCTTCCATAATTGCGAAGCCATGGTGTCCGGATCGCGAATTGTTTGTAAAAGATTTTACCGCGGCGTGTCCATTTGAGAATTTTGGGCAACGTCCTTATATGTTATTCAGTAAAACGCCATACAGACCAAAAGATATAAACAATGCGGACATGGCAGTCGCGCAATGCTGTCTCATAAGTTCGCTTGTGCTATGGCCGCAGAATGTTGGAGTGCACGACGCGACCAATGAAGATCTAGAAGCTTTATGTCATATGTGGAGATGTTACGGATATTTTCTCGGAATAGAGGATGAGTGTGTAAAACTAGAGAAATATTTATATCATACTATAAATATTCCGCACACAATACTTGACTACATTCATATAATTCGTCAGGTACAACTTTTGTCGTGGCAGCCTGGAGGAAATAAAACAGCGTGTGCGAGATATGTTTCAATATTGGATAATACCAAATTTTAAAGATATTACACCTGAATGGGAGCATATGACCAAATGTTTTATTGAACCGTTTAATTATTACCCTTTTGTATACTTGCCTTATAAAGTGGTAATACTAATGGCTGTGGATTCATTAAATCTAAATATGCCGTATATATATACATCGCTCAATTATTTAGAATGGATTGCTTACAAAAGCTTGACGTAAGTAATTTTTCTTATAAAAATATTTAATTTGTCAATGCATCATTATCAATATCAATTTTATTAAACGTTGTAGCTTTTTGAGAGGGATAACAAATAATATAAATACTAAATTTGAAAAAATTATTAATATTTAAATTAGTTAATTTATTTTGTGTCTAAATTTTAAATATAAGATATTTTTATCATTTTTAAAAATAATATTCTTAAGAAAGTTTTGATGTATATTTTTCATGTTTTCACCAATTTTCTTTCATCCTTAGAAATTTTATTTATTGTGCTTTTTTTTTAATTTATTTAGCTTAATTATTTTATAACGATATCATGTATATTGTGTATTATTGATACTTTTAATTATTTTAATAATTTCAGATTTATATTGCGTCATGCTTTAAAACATTCAAGTTTACGAGCAATTTTTAATAAAATCGTATACAAAATAATAAACAAAGCGACAAACTTCAGCCCGGAAAAGCACGCAGAACTTCAGGAAAAATCAAAGAAACAGTTATCAAGTTTGTCTGCTATGTGTTAATACTAGTACTAAAGGAGTTTAAAATTATGGAATCATATTTTACTTCAGATATATATATATCGAATGATGATGTGGACGTGTATTATAATTTCTTTTTTATTTTACTAATTCTTATATTTTACAAATGTTATAAAATAATAATAAAATGCTTTGTTTTTTGTTTCATCGAAATCTTTGCGCATCTTGATAGCACATGATGTACAATGAATGCATATAATAGTAGCATGTTTGCATATATTCTTTTACTGCATCAATATGTGTTAATCAATATGTGTTAAATAATTGAAGTTATTAATTCATTAAAATTTTTATTAATATCTTTTATTTATATTTACAATACGTAATTTTTCACATTATATTTTTTTATATCTCTGTCATTGATTTTTTTCTTCATAAATATTTTTTTTTTTTATGGAACATGGGGATAATATTTGTATTTGAACATTCAAGTTTAAATTCTGTATTGCCTGTTGACATTTTTAGTTGACAGATAAAAATAAATAAAAAATATAATTATACGCATTTTCATATATCAGTGATTCTCCCAAAATGTGCGCCGCAAAATATTCAAAAATTTTAATAATTTTAAGTAATTTTAACTCAATACGCTGATGTAGGTACAATTTTTTTTATTTAAAGATATATAGATGGCTCTGGCAACGTCATGCAGCTCGCGAAATACAAATGGTGTGTAAAGGTACAAAACTTACGGTTAGTGTATTACAAATTGTTGTGGATAGAATATTTAATGCAAAGAAAATTAAATATACTAGATCTAATTGTACCGCACGAGAACAATACTAGTTGAATAGCGCTGATTTACAATAATTACAATGATAGGAAGCGATATCTAACTGACACATCGCGAATCTCATTCTATCCATCTAGTATTATAGTTTCAACCATTTCAACATTAATCGAATATAAAGTAGTTAAAAAACCATATATTTTCATACATATAAATATTATACTGCGTCACAATAAAAAAATATAAACAAAATGCTATGATAAAAACTAAATACATTGTTAAAAATTATTTTCATAATGTTACTACTTGTATTTCCTATATTTTAATGTAAAATGTAATATATTAAATGTATAAGTGAATACATGACTCATTATTTTTTTACTTAATTAACCTAACCGCATGAATGTAAATGCAATTGTTCAGTATTTTCTGACTTAAGGCGCCGTGAAACGAAAAAGTTTGGGAACCACTGACATATATATTAGGTAACCAAAAAAGTTTGTGCAGTCTTTTATAATAATTTTATAAAAATAAGTTCAGAAATTTTTATAAAATATTTTAGTCATTAAAATAAAATTCTTCTAATATTTCTCCAAGCGATTATCTTTTCTTGGCGCTAGACAATCACATGCGAAACAGACAATTTCACAGTAAAACAGAGATTGAAGCAGAGATTGCTAGGTTTTTTATTTCTAAAGACACAACGTCTTATAAAGACAGAATTTACAAACTTATATCTCGCTGGAAAAGAGTTGTAAATTGTAAAGATACTTATTTTAATGACTAAAACGTTTTATAAAAATTTCTGCACACGTTTAATTTTTATTATAAAAAACCATGACCTTTTTTGGTTACCTAATACTTTGATCAGAACACAATAATTTTGCATCTGAACAACGCTACTTACGTAGCTTAACAAAAGTGATTTGTATTATTTGCATGACAAAAAGATTTTCATAAAAAAATGGTAGATCTTAATGAGACGTCTGAAAACATTACTAAACATTCACAATGTAAACGTGAAACATTCGAGTGAATATGAATATGCAACAGTGTTCAAGAAAATGTTTAATTTGAAATTATTTCCGAACGACTTCGATAGTTTTTCTCCAAACTGTAGAAAAACAATATTGAACCTGGATAAATGAGAATATCACCCAATTCTTTCCAAACGTACAGTAGTCTATATTGAATATGATTCCAGTCTTCTATCATCAAACAAATTATGAAATGTCACCAATCAGAAAATCTACATGGATGGATATGAATAAATATCACAGATAACAAAGATTTGTACGCGATTACTATGCTTCTATTGTTATGATTAAAATAGTGGGTGTATCATTCATCTATGTACTTTCATGACTTTCTAAAACCGATGATTATGTCAAGGCATACTTACGAACCTCGAAATATTTATAGAATTTTCGATTCTAATTAATCGATATGTTATAAAATTATTACACACACTGAAAAAATTGATTGGTAATAGTTATCAAATACATTTTAATTAACTTTAATAACTGTAATCAAATTTCGATAGCAAAAAGTAAAATATTTCATATAAGTATTATCAAATAAAATTAAAGAAATTATCTATTTGGGCTTTTTTAATTGGGTGTTTTTAATATCTGGCATATTTTATCGTAATATATTTTTGCGTTTATTGATTACAACATCAGCTAATTCACAATAAATAAACAGGTCAATCTAGATTAAGTAATTTGAATTATCGATTCGTTTTATTTATAAAAATATATCTTTTATTTCTCAGAAAATTTTACTTTGACACCTTTGACACACTTTTATATATTTTTTGTTATCAATCTGAAACTCCTCGAATATTTATTTTTTTGTTTTATTACGAAAAGGAATTGATATCATTATAGACATTTTAATTAAAAACATTATACTCTGACATGTTGACTCATAACGAATAAAAAAATGAAATACCAAGCGTCAAGTTTTTATTTCTGAGAACCAGTCTTTAATATTTGGCAAAATGGTACAAACTTGGCGAATAAATTTTACGAATGGCATCAATACATTATATCGCAAAACATAAAATATTATGTAACTTTGCAGAAATAAGTAGGGATGACTGTATAAAAAGTCTCATCCCAATTTTTCGCGTACAGTTCACTCTTTGCCGCGTAGAACCAAATATCGTTTTCATTTGCATATTGACAAGTTGTTTATAATGACGAACAGTAGTACGTATAAAAATGTTTCTAATTTCGAAAATAATACAATAAAAATTCAAGCAAACCAAAAAGAAAATTCAGATGAACGAGAACAAGTACTGTTGCTAAAAAGTACGTTTGCTCGAGAGATGTTTCCTAACAATTTTGATACGTGGACAATAAGGGAACAATTTATCTGGATAAACAAGAACCTCTCAAAATTCTTTCGAAATGTGCCTGAAACATTATTAGGATACGTGCCGGCCTCTTTTCATCAAATTAATTTTGATCGGTCGCCAGTTCAATTGCCCAAATGGATGGACATAGATAAATATCGTCGAGGACAAAAGTTTGTATCTGAAAATTATGTCGCAATTATTATGGGAAAGCTAATAGGCCTCATCCATATATACACTTTCAATGATGGTTTAAAACCAGTTATTATAGGAGGACACGGTCACACGCTGGATTTAGGATACAAAAGGTATTTTTTTCTAATTATTTATTATTTGCTGATTCTTACAACTGATTAAAAAAACCGTTGATCAAAGTCATTAATGCCTACTAATACTCCATATTTAAATATTACTATAAAATTTTATGTCATGCTCCTTTGTAATATTTTATTAATACGCGATGCCTAACCAATTTTATTTATTTCAATCATTTCTCTTTCATCATTTTCATTATTTTCACATTTCTTTTTATTCTAAAGTTTTAGCAATACATGATGAATAAAACTGAGAGATAAAGCTATTGTATTTATTTTATTGATTATATAATAGTATATATTATATTGATAATCCTCCTTCTTTACTTACGATAACAGTTTCATTGATTTTTTTTAAGTTCTGGCTTTTTTTCCGAGCTATAGTTTACCGCAGTATTTAAAATGTAAATTGCAAGTTTGTTCATAGCTTTTCTTATGATAGATAATTTTAAAGCATGTTGAAGTATAAATCTGAAATTATTAAAACGTAATATAAATATACATAATTTATGAAACATATTT